AAAAAAACAAAAAAATTCTTTTCTTTATAGCATTCTCATATCTAATAAGCCTATATAATCTAGATTCACTAGGCTTTAAACACATAACACCAAAAAAGCATCAGAATTAATCTAGAATCAAACTTTTCTCCCAATGATCAGATGATTGATTACTAATAATCTCTCATTCATCAACTAAAAACTCAAATTTTAAGTCTTAAACTCCATTCAAATCAAAATCACAGAACAATGATCAAAACCATCAAATCAACAACAGTAATTTTTCCTAGCAAGATTCTCTTGAAAAGAGGTGAAAACATGCAACATTTTCCTTCAATAACACACACTCAATGTCTCGATCCAACAAAAAATGCTTATAAAAACAAAACAAAACAAAACCCAGATAATCATATGTTGTACTAATTCCAAAATTTCAATCATGTTCATATCCTTAACCAATATCTACCACATTATAATTGCAATCATACCCCTCTATGTGGCCATGATCATAGCCTACATATCCATAAAACGATGGAAAATATTCACGCCCGATCAATGCTCGGGCATCAACAAATTCGTCGCGAATTTTTCCATTCCGCTTTTGTCCTTCCAAGTCATCTCTTCAAACGACCCTTACAAAATGAACCTCAAGCTCGTGTTAGCCGATTTTTGCCAGAAGTTTCTTGCTCTTTTCATGCTAACATTAGTGGCCAAAACAAGTTCCAAAGGGAGCCTTAGTTTGGTAATAACCGGACTTTCACTATCGACTTTACCTAACACGCTGATTTTAGGCATTCCGTTGGTGAAGGCGATGTACGGAGAACAAGCTGTTGTACTCTTGGCACAGATAGTTGTACTCCAGAGCTTAGTTTGGTACAACCTTCTTCTAGTTCTTTTCGAGGTTAATGCCATTGCCACCAACGAAACAGGTTCGAAAAAATGGAAATTTAATCGATATTCTTCCCTTATCTTCATTTTTATTTATGTTATAAGAACTTTTTATATATTTTTTTATATGAAATCCTCTGTTTTTGAAAAGTAGAGCATGGAGGAACTACTAAAAGCGAAACGAAAAAGAAAATAACGAGCGTGCTTTCGACTGTAGCGAAAAAGCTTATGAAAAATCCGAATACTTACGCCACATTAGCAGGGCTAATATGGGCAACCATACATTTCAGGTGATGTTAGCGTTACATTTAGTGCTGCTAAATTAAACGAGTTTGACTCAGCTCAACTCGAGCTCCCCTCATTAAGGCTTGAGTTCGGCTCGAGCTCGAGGCCTTAACGAGCTGAGCTTGAGCTCATTTAAAGCTCAACTCGATAAGGCTCGAAAAGAGAATTTTTTATATAATTTTCTATAATTCGGCTGTTAAGCTCGAGATCGGCTTGTTAATAGTGCCTAATTACATTACTCATTGCACCACATATACATTAACACAAATCTCGCAAAATGCCGAGCCTTTTACACGGTCACACTTCGAATAATAAAGTGCAGGTTCGCAGTCAAATTGCCTAAAGTGGTCGAAAATTCGATATCTCTTCTTTCGGACGGTGGGCTCGGGATGGCCATGTTCAGCTTAGGTTAGTTTCAACCTTAATGTTCGCCA